GCGTCATGTAACCCTTGGTATGGTATATATGTATATGGTTAGAAAACTGAAAAAGGATTGGAAGTGGGGCCTAAAAATTAGTATACAAAAAGCCGAGTACTTAGTTGCAGGGCAAAAACCAGAAAGGGTACAAATGAAACGGGAAGTATAAAATCAACTGAAACTGAGTCCAAATAACATAAGCAAGAAGTAACGAAGAAATGCATTTCAGGATTGAGCAAGCAAAATAAGCCACTAGATAGTTACACGAACTATTGTGGAGTACCAAAATAACAAAAGAAAATAAAAGAAGAATTTATAAAACAATAAAAAAAGTATGGGATTATACGGCGCCATACTCGGGGAAAAATTGAGGCCATTGAAATGTACTAATCGAGACGATGTTGCCGGCTCACTAGACTTAATAATGTGAGGAACGAAAATATTCAGGGAGAAATGGAAATTGATCTAGAAATAATAGACACAGACTGCCCAATAAAAGAAAACGATGTAGGGCAAAACAGTCCTGGAGAGAAGATATAGAAGAATGACCATCAGAGATTTAAAAACTGAAGATTGCTTCTATGTTCATCTTAATATATATAGAGGTAGAGTTCTTGTAGGATTTTATTAGTTCCTGATCCTTTGTTGTTGGTGCTCCTAATGTTGGCGGTTCGATTTTGTTCTGATTTAATTCATAGTTTTGTTGTGTGGGAGATTCAAATATTATTGGCATTAGATCATAGCATATCCCTAAATTGCTCCATCTATCACTTACGGATATTCACCTTACAACCTACGTAGTTACGTCGGTTGTAAGTTGATGTCTTGAATTCCAACACAATCCTTTGATATGAATAAAGAAGTTAGTGTTTAATATCAAAGTCTTTATGAACAATGTATTTAATATTTAATTTAAGAAAATATTCTGAGATTTATAAAACTGAGGATGCATCATTTTTTCTGTGTTAAAATTATATTTTAATACGGCATCACAAAACTGTTTGCATTGTTTTGTTTATTGTGTTGTAAATAAAAGATCATTTTGAACCAAGGTTAAAATTTCTATGTAGGTCATGTTCACTGTCAAAAGTGAACAAATACATGGGCTGTCTGAATGTATAAGCCAAAAATAACTTTTAATATTTATGTAAATTTTAACGATAAGAAAATTCCTACACGGTAATGAAATCAGGGTATAAAAATAATCCGTTTTATATATATTTAAAAATCGAATGTAAGCAAAAAATGAATATGTGGTGTCGGAACAGATGTGAAATTGGGAAATGGGCCAAAGCTATAACGGCCATTTCCAGAACCAGTATCCGAGATATTTTGGCAAAAGCTTGAATTATGAATGAATCGTTAATACTAACTTTGCCGTGTCTGAAGTTGAATTTATTTTGTGTTTGAAAATAATACATTTATTTTTAAAATGGCTTTTGATTTAACATTTATATTTTCTGTTGTGAAAATGCAAAAGAGGAAACTTATACAATTATGTATTTGCAACTTGAAATTTTTTCACCCAAGTTAGTGAAAGGGCGAAAAAAATGTTCAAAAACATATACAGAAAAGAGCAGATTTGGCAAAACAGGAAACAGACGATGGAGTATGTAACGTTCAATAAAAGAGGCAGCACATCCGAAATGATCAGTATCATCTTCATGGTTCTACAGCCCTTCGTGTGTCTTGATCTGTTTCAGGACGTCCTTACATTCATTCCTATTAAATGCATTTCTTTTCCTCTAATGCGAACTATGTATTTTGAGATCCGCTTCCACTTCGTCGAGGTACCTTAGTGTAGGTATTTTCTAGGTCTCAGGGTTTCCAGGGTTTATTCTCATCTTATGTGGTTTATCTTTGAATAGTTTTACTATATGTGGGTCCATATAGAGTCTGTACAGGTCAAAGTTACATCGTTTACGTCTTTTCGTTTATAGCATCGTCTATTTGGTGCAGTACTTTACGCTCGAAATATCCTAGCTATTCCTCACTATACTTATCAGTGTCATCGAGCAAAAAGATAAAAGAGGGAATCTAATCGTTATGAAAAGGAGACCAAAAAAGTGGCCTCTGATGGCGGACATATCCGGAAATGCAAAGGCGCTAAATTTAAATTTTCTTAACACTTGTTAACAATACCTGTAAAATATTTTTCAGACAAGAAAGTTTTAATTAAATATTAACGATAATAGTCTAAAAAGTGACATAATTGGTAAAAAAACTTCAATATAAATAAAATTTCATGTGACAGTTGGGACAAACAATAACATAACCAAACTAAATTTGACTTCTTAAACAAGGAAAGAGACTGTCTTTCCTTGTTTAAAGTGGCCTCTCAAGATAGCACTTCCTGTCTAAACAATATTTTTGTCCCCCACTACCTTTACATTCCCTCTTTTATCTTTTTGCTCGATGATCAGTGTCCAGGTTTCAGAGCCATACGTTAGCACCGACGTACTTAAGTTTTATACAATTTACATGTGGTTTAGATGGACAGGTTTCTTGAGCTGAGTTGAAGAAGCTGACCATAATGGTATCTATTTTCCATGTTCATAGGGCGGTTTCTTTCTATTGTTTCATCGTTTTGGCTGAGTGAGCCCAAATAAACGAAATCACTGACACACTCTGTGCTTGTTCTATTTGCAGTACTCTATTCAATATTGGGTGCATCGTCTGCATATACTTGGTTTTATTAGTGTGTATCACCAGCTCCATATCCCTCGCTGCCATTTTTAGCTTTTTTACGCTTCCAAACAGCCATTTGTATTCAGCCAATACTATATACCTAATCGGCTTAATGCAAGATTTTGGATGTTTTTGTTATAAATAGATACACAAATAAAATAACTGCTTCTAATTTGGAGTAAAAATGAATATAATTTTTGTCGCTGCATTAGTTATGTCAAGTTCTCAATGTTTAGTTCTATCTTTTGGACAATAATTATGGAGTAGATTCTTAATAATGACAATAAAGCAAATAAAATTTAAATGTAAGTACAGTAAAACCTCGATATAACGGACCTCTATTTAACGGACTTCGGATATAACGGACAACAAATCCGTTCAAATATAAAAATGAAAACGTACTCTTATTTACGATATACTAACGCGTAGGTTTCTATGATTATATGGGTGATTACCAGGCTGGTCACTCACCACTCTACAGCAGTCCTAGTTTATTCGTTGTGAATGAACACATTTAGTGTAAGCCAGTAAATAAATTAAAATTTTCGCAATCATACCCTTTAAATATGGATAAACTAACACAAATCTAACGATCAATCAAAGACTAGAGATTCTACAAAAGTTGGAGTCTGTGTCTAGAACGTCTGTGTTTCATATATGCGATCAATATGGCATAAAAAAGCAAACTGTTTCAGACATAAAAAAACAAGAGCAAAATAAATGAATTTGTGATGAAGGAGAGAACAGCAATCTCAGAAAACGAATGAAATTGGCTCGTAAAACTTTACTGGAAGAAGCAATCTTAAAATGGTACGGCCAACAACGTTCCAGTGGGATGCTGATCCGGGCAGTCGAACTGAAATATGCTGCGATTAAATTAGCAAATCATATGGACATACCATTCAGAGCAAGTGATGGATGGCTCTCGCGCTTTCGCAGAAAACACGAAATCATGAATAAAAGAATCTATGGCGAAGCTTCAAGTACACCAAAAGAAGAGATAGAACCTTTTAGGTAAAAATTAGTGGAACATATCAGTAACGAAAATCTATTAGAATTTCACATTTATAATACTGACGAAACTGGTTTGTTATGGCGTACTTTACCTGAAAGCACACAAGCCTCCAAATATGAAAAATCCAATTCTAGAAGAAAAATTAGCAAAGACAGGGAATCGGCACTGCTTTGTGCTAACGTCGATGGATCGCATGGATTGACTCCCATAATGGTTGGCAAATCTCGTAAACCTGGAGTTTTAAAAGATATAATACATGATCCGCCCGTTTCATATTAAAGCTCCAAGAAGGCATGGTGCACCTCGTTTTTGACAAAAAAATACGTCGCTTATTCAATCCATGCATCAGGGTAAAATTTTGGCAACCAAACGAATATATCGCAGACATTTTTAGACGAAGTAATGGTTGTATTGCACGATGGAGATAATGCAGAAGATACAAGAGGGTAGCGTACCTTGCAAAACTTACGGTCTTACAATTTAAAATCAACAATTTTTACTTTTCAGCAGCATGGGAGGAAGTGAAAGAGCAAACATTAAAAAATGGTTGGAAGAATTTGTTTGATGGCCAAGATGCAGACATAGATTTAGAAGGTCAGGAAGATACTGATTTCTGTATGACAATACATAATAATGCCAGAGAACATGTGGCTGAGGAAGATGATTTACAATGACTAGAAGTAGATGAAGGTGACCCTGGGTATAACATCATGATTGAAAGTGAAATGGCAGCAGATGCACGTATCAACCTAAAAAATGAGAATGGAAGTAAAGATAGCAAAAAAGACGACAAAACAACACTGCCAAAATGAAGTTATCAGAAGTAAGATCGCATCTCGACGATCTAGTAACATCTATTGATTATTCATCAAGTAACGAAGTTCAACTGTAATTTACGCGTTTTCGTAATTTTAGAGAGTTGACCATAAAAGAACAGCAAACATCGAAAGTGCAAACGAAACTTGATTCCTTTTTCAAAACAATCGAGTTTTTTATTTATTTTAAACATATTTTTATATAAACGGACTTTCAGCTTTAACGGACACCCTGTCCCCCCAAGTGGTCCGTTATATCGAGGTTTTACTGTAGTGCTATTTTTATCTAAGTTTAAAATGCAATGCTTTATCCATTTGACGTTGGATGTATCTAGAATGATACGAATAAATCAAGACATTATATTTGGATAATACGCAAAATATCCGGGTACAACTAGTTTTATCCAATTTCGGGGATTTCCAGAAAAATACACAATATACAAACATTTGTTATTCAAAATCTTTTTAAATTTTCTCTAATTTTGCTATTTTTATTTCAGAGCGGTAGCGGCATATCTGCGTGCCCTCAACTTGTCCCCCAATAATGCCGTGGTTCACGGAAATCTCGCCTGCGTTTACTATGAACAAGGACTTATCGATCTGGCCATTGATACTTATAGGCGAGCAATTGAACTTCAGCCTAATTTCCCGGACGCCTATTGTAACTTAGCCAATGCACTAAAAGAAAAAGGTCAAGTTTCCGAAGCCGAAGAATGTTACAACACAGCATTACGTTTGTGTCCTTCGCATGCGGACTCTCTCAACAATTTGGCCAATATCAAGAGGTACGTCATCAGTTATTCTCTATTAGAATATTTGGGTTTAAACAGCATCTTTTGTTAACAGGGAACAGGGTTACATAGAAGAAGCTACCAGGTTGTACTTGAAGGCTTTGGAAGTATTCCCCGAATTTGCTGCAGCTCACAGCAATTTAGCATCTGTACTTCAGCAGCAGGGTAAACTGAATGAAGCACTGATGCATTACAAGGAAGCTATTAGGATTCAGCCGACCTTTGCAGATGCATATTCCAATATGGGTAAGTTACGTTTTTGTTAATCTGGTCAACTGACCAATGAGTAATTCATGTTCAAAGTAATTTATCGACCATTTTTTAAAACTAAGAGACCATCCTATATCAGTAAATATTGCTTAATAACAGTTAGACATGGAATATTACATCTAATTCTGCATTTTCATTCATCTATCCACAGTTTTCGTGCCCAGATCCCTACGAAGATCACAGTTACATATATGCTAAGAAGTATCTTCAGTATTTCATAACACTTTATTCTAAAATATGTAGATGGCGCTTATACAAGCTTTGGCACAACCCTAGAATTAACATATTCATACATAGATTCAATGAGGTGGCTTTTAGCCTATTCCACTGTGACCTTTTCATATTTATTGTGTTCCTTTAACCCCGGATTATATTCTCTAGCCCGATCTTTTTAAATGGTCTTTGGCTTTGAGACGGAACCCTCCATGTAGAGCTCTTTGCCGGTGGCTTTTCTTCGCCTAATGTAAAGAACCGCGCAAAATGTCTCTAGGTGACAGAATCTACATAGAACCTTATATCCATACTGGTCTTAGTATTTGCTGATCGATTAATAAATTTCTAAATGAACAATTTAAAAATTTTCTTCTTCCAACATCTTCCAATACATTTTTGTCCGATTATCAATTGTTTCTGTTTTATTTTAAACTGAACTTTTCAGTGGAGCCTTGTGTCTAAAGTGGTGCCAAATAGTTTGCTGATGGTGTTTGTGGCATTGTATTGGAACTTGTGATATCTTTTTAATTCTTTTATTTGTGAAGTCAATTTGGATGGATTTGGCTTCATTTAATCTATTCATACATGAATAGATCTGACAGTTTACGTTTTCTACATAAGTAAGTAGCTTCTTCAAGTTTTCGAATTTAAATCGGAAAAATTAGCATTGGCACTACACCTCAATCATTATTCTCAAAGTGATTATGTATCCTCAAAGTGATTATGTATCCTCAAAGTGATTGTATAATAAAATATACAATATACTAAGCACCTGTATGTCGATATTGCAATAAAGTTCTTCAAAAAGGGTTAGCCATAGAAAAACCCTCTTAAGCAGAAAAACAGAGTAGGTATACTTTCCCGAAGGTTTTTGGTGCGCTGAATACGAATCTGAGCTCTATATTGCCGAATTGGTTGTTTTTTTAGATATCCTAACCTAAAATTGCAAAATAGGGGTTTTGGCCATTTTCGAGATCCTATCAACTAACACTATTACTTCAGCGTCTCACTGACTACTCGACAAATCATAAACCGACGCGGTATGTGCGTCGTAAGTTGCCTAACATATACTTTACAGAATCTTGAAATTTGTAAAAAGGCATAAAGTGCGCCCGCTCTATCCGTAAGGGGTATTATTTCACACTGTATTAACAACACTAGTCACAAAATCACAATTATTGCTCTGTAAAATTTCGACCACTTCGCTCTGTTGCTTATACCGAATGGTATTTAGCGCATCTTTCGATCTAGGAATTCCGAAGAAACTCAGCCGCACATTTATAATGGTCGATATATACTTTTAACTTAAATTTAACTTTTTCCTGTATATTTTGTAAAGTACTTATTTTATAAACTATAAATTTTATTACAGGAAATACCTTGAAAGAGATGCAAGACGTATCTGGAGCCCTTCAATGTTACACACGCGCCATCCAAATAAACCCGGCCTTTGCTGATGCGCACAGTAATCTAGCTAGTATCCACAAAGATTCAGGCAACATTCCAGAAGCCATACAGTCGTACAGAACCGCTTTAAAGCTGAAGCCAGATTTTCCTGATGCATATTGTAACCTCGCTCACTGCTTACAAATTGTCTGTGACTGGACAGATTATGATTCAAGGATGAAAAAATTGGTAAACATTGTCGCAGATCAGCTGGAAAAGAACCGTTTACCGTCTGTTCATCCGCATCATTCAATGTTGTATCCTCTTTCTCACGAATTCCGCAAAGCTATTGCTGCCAGGCACGCTAATTTATGCCTAGAGAAAATAAACGTTTTGCATAAATTCCCTTACAAGTTCACCCCGGAGCTTAAAAGTAGATTAAGAATCGGTTACGTCAGCAGTGATTTTGGAAATCATCCGACATCACATTTAATGCAGTCGATTCCTGGAATGCACGATAAATCAAAGGTAGAAATATTTTGTTATGCTTTAAGCCAAGACGATGGAACTACATTCAGAAGTAAAATCTCTAGGGAAGCGGAGCATTTTATTGATCTTTCTTCTTTATCTTGCAATGGTAAAGCCGCTGATCGAATTTATTCAGATAATATCCACGTATTAGTAAACATGAATGGATATACAAAGGGAGCACGAAACGAGATATTTGCTCTAAGGCCAGCTCCCATTCAAGTAATGTGGCTAGGATATCCAGGAACAAGTGGTGCCAGTTTCATGGATTACCTTATTACCGATGAAATCACGTCACCAATAGAAGTAGCAGATCAATATAGCGAAAAGTTGGCTTATATGCCATACACATACTTTGTCGGAGACCACAAACAAATGTTCCCCCATTTAAAAGAAAGATTAATAGTAAGTGATAAAACGGGACAGAATTTAGCTGATAATGTAGCTATAATCAACGCCACAGATTTATCTCCTCTTGTTGAAAATACAGACGTCAAAGAAATTAAAGAGATCATAAAAGCGGCAAAACCAGTGGAAATTAGCTTGAAAGTTGCTGAATTACCAACTACCACTCCGATAGAAAATATGATTGCATCTGGACAAATTCAAACTTCATTGAATGGAGTAGTTGTCCAAAACGGACTAGCAACAACGCAAACAAATAACAAAGCAGCTACGGGTGAGGAAGTTCCACAAAATATCGTTATAACAACTAGACAGCAATACGGCCTACCAGATGATGCAGTAGTTTACTGTAATTTTAATCAGTTGTACAAAATCGATCCAGTGACGCTTCACATGTGGGTGAACATTCTGAAAGCAGTACCAAATGCAGTCCTCTGGCTGTTACGGTTTCCCGCAGTCGGTGAACCGAATTTATTGAGCACTGTACAGCATCTAGGTTTACCACCAGAGAAAATTATCTTTAGTAATGTAGCTGCCAAAGAAGAACATGTAAGGAGAGGTCAACTCGCAGATGTTTGTCTCGATACTCCGTTATGCAATGGACACACAACCAGCATGGACGTGCTGTGGACAGGAACTCCAGTGGTAACTTTACCCGGTGAAACTTTAGCGTCGCGAGTAGCAGCTAGTCAGTTGAATACTTTGGGTTGTCCTGAGTTGATAGCTAATTCAAGGCAGGAATATCAAGATATTGCCATTAAACTGGGAACAGATAAAGAATAGTAAGTACTCGTAATTGTCAAATGCATGTCTTAATTACGCAAACAATTTTTTTTTCACGAAAAAGTGTTTTGTTTAATAGGTATTCTATAATAAAATGGGGGGTGCTGATCACGAATATTAATTTAGTTTTTTTCGGTCGCTGCAGGTTGCAAATTACACTGCAAAATTGAGTTGTTCATAAAAAAACAATGCAGTAAAATCTACGTTAACAATGATTACAATAACAACGTTGGCATGAATAAAATCGTTCTTTTTTCGTGAAAGCTGCGTTTTCAATTTTTCTTTTTATATATTTTTGCGAGCGAGTCTCTCTTCAATGTCCAGCAGTAATCAACCATCATTCTAATACCCTATCTTCCTTGGTAACGTCTCTCCACCTCCTTTATGTCCTGATAGAAACTCTCTCCCTGTTTGTTTCTGCCAGCTTACAAGATTTTCGGGAAAATAGTCAACGTGGGAATACAGAAAATAAAGTTTGACGATCATACTGCATCCCAATTTTTTATAATTTTCGACCATGTTGGCTACAACTACTTAGTGGTTTGAAGAGTTGTTGTTTCCAAGGAAACCGTCTATAACTTCTACGAAAGTACTCCATGTACCAGATTGGCAGTTACTACTTTTACTTCTGTTTATCGTCGTTTCACGCTGTTATGAGTTTATCTATGATGTTTCTTGCTCCTCTTTCCTCGGCTACGAAGGTATATCGTTCATGTAATTGTGTTTCTCATAGACTGTTTCCTATTTTCATATTCTTGGCAATACAGAATTGGATCATTATATCTCCTTTCTATTTCTTTCCATTTCTCTGCATTCTTCCATACATCCCCGCCCTGTTTATCTATTATTTCCTATTCTATCGTTTCATTTTTCTGTTATTAATACTTTTTGATTTTGCTCTAATTATATCTATCGTATTTTGTAGTTGAGTATAGAACTCATCTATTGTACTATCGTCTGATCCTTAATCTGTGGTGTATATCTGCATTGTGTGTATTTCCTCTTTTATTTCTAACTTTAATGTAATTTTTTTTGGTGATATGGCTTGTGTGTTATTTCAAAGTAGATGACTTCAAAATGATAGTGCTAAATAAAGTAAATATTTACTTTATTTACTACCGTCACTATGGTCGTAAATAATTACATACAGGTGTAAAAATCAGATAATGTACATCAGATTACAGTTCTCAAAACATAATGTGTAAAAACGGTATGATGTATCATGCCCTGCGTTGCTATCCGTAAAATGTAATTACCCTTCTGTCGTATCTTGAAGATTTGTCAATTATTCAAATTAAAATAACTTTTGGTTTTGTTAATTAACTAAATTTGTTATTACTTTATGAGATTTGGTGGACGGAATGGTGCAATTAAGGCTATTAATTGCACACATATTGCAATTAAGTACCTTCTGCTGATTTGATTAGATCTGGCCTTCTTCAACAGAAAAGGATTTTATAGTATAAATATGCAAGCAATTTGTGATGCCAATTCTATATTTTTAAATTTGAATGCTTCCACACATAAAATTTGGGAGTTAAGTGTAGTGAATTGATTTTTGTGAAAACAATTTGTGGCATATGAACTTCAAAAAATGCCTATTTAATTGGAGATTCAGGTTATCCATTACAACCATGGCTATTGGCTCCTATTTCAAATGCTGGAGAAAATACCCCAGAAGGAAGATTCACCCATGCTCTTACTGCAACCAGAAATGTCATTGTGAACGGTTGCAGACTTTTGAAATCCTGCTTTCTTTGTTTGCACAAGCACAGGGCTTTACATTACAGCCCTGTTAAAGCTGGAAATATATATTCTAACTCTATAACGTATAATTGAATACCCATCAGAAAATTCATAGCATCTGATTTGACCACACCCAATCATGACTAAAATTTTCTCGTTAATAAATCCATTGTAAATCTTGAGGAAAAACCAGCAAAAATACTTATGGTACTGGAATGATAGTTTTTTTCTGGCCTTTTCTCATGATTTACAAAAGCAATATTATTTTAAAAACTTAACACCTAACTAAAAAGTTGAAAAATTTAAAATCTTTATTTTTTACAGTTTAAAAGCTATGCGACACAAAGTATGGACAGCAAGATCAACTTCACCACTATTTAACTGTAAGATCTATGCACAAGGGTTGGAGTTGTTGTACGGCAAGATGTGGGATCGCTTCGCAGCTGGCTTGAAACCCGATCACATCATTGATACAACTGCCACTGAATAGTGTCATCGTTGAAAATGTGATAAAATACGTTAACTTTAAAAATCTCTTCTTTTTATAGACAATAATTTGCAATTGAGAAAAATACATAGTTTCAGTTCCAAGTTGATACTAATGTAGTTTTAGTATGACAATGACATTGTATATAAAAGATTTCCGTGACGACATATTAAGCAAAAGATTATTGAGTTGATGCGAATTCTTGTTATGTTATTCTCGCAGTGAACATTATTTTTATATAATTGATATCAACAACTGACTATGGCTATTTGTGTGATTTATTAAATTGTATATATTTCTTATAGTATAAAATGTATATGTGCGGTTTAAATAAGTTCAATATGATTTATATTATTTAAGTTATTAATAAATTATATGCTGTTCATTTTATTACTATGTAATACATTTACTTGACATGTGTAATTTAATGCCATTATAATAAAGATATATTTTAAAAAGAAACACATGCTAGAACAAAGAAAATACAAGTTTTCAACGAAAACCTTTTATTTTTCAAGAAATTAAAAGGGAATTTTCGTTTTCTTGTTTGTCACATTGATCATCTTTGAATCCGTCCTGTTCCGAGGTATAACCCTGTCTGTATGAGCAAAGTTAGTAGGAGGGAGTCTTCAACTTTGTTGGATATGAAATATGTCAAGTTTTCTTTCTTACTAATTTTTTTATCATTGTTTGGAAAAGTGTTAAAAGCTTATTTAAATATCTTATTTTTATTATTCAAAATATGACCTTTAGTTTTACCACTTTAATTATAATATATTAGTTTATTATAATATGGCTTTTTTTGGCTTAGGCATTGTCTTACAGCCAGATACAAGAGGAATAAGACAGTATCCATCGTTATAATTTACCTAAATGCCCTATCAAAATAAAAGTGTACATCGATATTAGAAGAACATGGACACACTCTTCTAGCCTAGGGATCTACGAAGGCATTGAATAATATGGCTTTAGTTCCACATCTTTTAAATGCTCGAACTCAAATTGGCTGATTCATTATTGTCACCTTCTGAAAATTCACTTGTCTAAAAACAACATGTTTTTGGGAAACTATTTATCAACCCAGAACACTTCAGATTCCTTAACAAATCGTACCCGCCATTTGTATAGAAAGTTTAAGATGACACTTTAAACTTATTTATTGCTATGCGTGGAGGTTCTAAGAAGAAAGTAACCACCCTAGTTGACTTTCATACATACGTATTTCTTCCGTATATATAGGCACTCTAAACCAACTCGTCAGACACATCTCAAAATCGGCAAAGATCCGTACCAGCGTCAAGTGTGCGTCCAGCATATCCTAAATCTTCCAATTGTTATTTAAATTACAATCATCTACAGGGTGGTCAATCGCCAAACGGACCATAGTGACTCAATGGGAAATTCTAAATTGTTGAATTCCTGCTTCCCTAATTATTTTACACCAAGAGTCAAGAAAAACTATTTGTAGAGGACTGAAATATGCATCGAAAACAAATGTTAAAGTTGTTCTACGAATTAAACGTATTTCAAAATTTTGCAAAATTCAGGCCACCCGCGGTACAAGAATGTGCATGACATGTTGCGATTGGTCTTATTGATATTTGGCAATATTTGAATTGACAAAATTTTTATTTTGTGATTTATTGTTTAAAAAACAATATAGTTAATTAAAAAATGTATCCAGTTGAGAAAGTAGCGATAATAAAAATATTTGATTCAGGCAATAGTGGTGCGCGAATTGTCAGTATTTTATTTAGCGTAAAATAGAACAATTCCATGACAATGTCATTCAACAATTCAAAGGATTTTACAAAATTTTGAAAATACTGGGACAGTGATTTCTAATTGTACCTGTACAAACAATATTGCTGAAGTACCAAGAAATTTAGAAAATCAATATGAAATAAATGTATTAACAGCAGTTATAAAAAATCCAAGAATAAGTTCTCGTTCCATTGCAAACCAGTTCAATATTCATAATTTCTTAAAATTTTTGAAAAGGAATAAATTCCGTTCATATAAATTTCAATGTCATCAAGAACTAAGAGAATAAGCTGTTAAGCGACGAGCGGAATTTTGTTACGAGATTTTAGAGAGGGCTACTGCAGACAGACAATTTAAAAAAAACATTTTGTTTAGTGATTATATATAGGAATCAACTATAGGATATGGTCGACAAAAAAGTCTGAGGATATTATTGAAAGCCATACCCAATATCGTCGAATAATAAATGTCTGGTTAGGAATATTTAAACACAATATTATTGGACCATTTTTCTATGACGAAAATTTAAATTCAAAAAAGTTTTTAGACTTGCTACAAGAAGAGATTTTACCCATACTTGCAGAAATAGCTCCAGATGAAGAGGAAATTTGGTTTAAAAATAGATGGGTACCCTGTGCACAATAACTGGGAGGTTAAGGAATTCCTTGAAAACAGCTTTAACAATTGTTTGATTGGACCTGACTAATATTAAGTAGGCCCCGAGATCGGCAGATCTAGCTCCAAACGATTATTTTATCTGGGGGCATCTAAAATTAAAAATCTATTCTGACCAAAAATTAACAGAGACTGAATCATTAAAAATGCGAATTATTGAAGAGTGTGCAAAAATAAAGCAACGCGTTCTGTCTGTTTGACGAGATTTTTACAATTCAGTAGGATACTGCTTGGTACAAAATGGCTTATTGTTTTATCATTTGTTATGGTTTTATGTTTAGAAATTATGATAAATTATTTTTAGGATGGATCACAGTAAAACTATATTAAAATGTATAACCTGGAATTGAATTGGAGTGTATCATGATATCTGACGTTAAATAAAGATCTGGCAGTGATCGCACTATTGCTTGAATACAACATAGCGTTTTTTTCGTGAACTGAGTACATTTCATCAACTTTGGTTTTTAAACAATATAATTTATTGTTTACAAAGTACTATTTATTGTTCACTAGTAGTTAGTATTTGTGTAAATATTTGTGTAAAAAAGTATTTGTGAAAATTTGCTATTTATAATTTAATCATAAAAGAAAAATATTTACAAAATTTTGTAAAATCCTTTAAATTGTTGAATGACTTAGAATTGGTCTATCTTGTGTTAAATAAAGAACTGACAATTCGCGCACTATTGTCTGAATCAAATATTTTTATTATTGCTACTTTCTCCTTAACTGAATACATTTTTTAATTAACTATATTGTTTTTTAAACAATAAATCCCAAAATAAAAATGTTGGCAATTCATATATTGTCAATTATTAGAAATATCAATATGACCAAACGCAACATGTCATACACATGCACACAATAATTCTTAGAACAATTTTAACATTTGTTTTTAATACAGATTTCAGTCCTCTACATATAGTTTATGTTGACTTTTGATGTAAAATAATTAGGAAAGCAGGAATTCAACAATTTAGAATTTCCCATTGAGTTTCCTATGACCCGTTTGGCTATTCACCACCCGGTACATCACGTCTTCATCTACATACAGCAAGTTGTACACACAACAATCATGATGTTATCGATTCAATTTATGGATATTATTCCTTCCTTCAAATGCCTTTAATATACGTATATAACTGCAGAAACTAATAGACGTATATATCTTGCAAATGGAGCATGCTATGGATTAAAGAAACTTTTAACATCAAACATAGTCACAAAAAGAACGAAAATATTGATATACAGAACTTTTATTAAGCACGACCTTAGAAACGTGGACAATGACAGAAAACGGTAAACAAACCTTAGGCTGTTTGAACGTAATTTTTGCAAAGGGGCTTTAATTTTAAGCCATACCACCTTAACAGTAAACCTAGTATTGGTAGGTCTACCAAAATAAACAGGCTGCGGTGGCTAGGCCATTTAGAGAAAATGAACAAGATAGATCCGTCGAAACATATTTATAACCAAAGATCGGAAGGAGTGAGGAGAAAAGGCAGGCCCAGAGCACAACTTTAAGAACCAGAAGACCACTTACGAGTAAGAAATTACAAAAACCAAGGTGAAGGAATGGAATCTGATCCTAAGACAGAACAAGACCCACTTTGTGTTGTAGAGCCAATGATGATGAATATTGTATTTTATGTGTTTTTGATAAGTATGGAGCAATCACAGACTAGTAAAAGATAAAGTAGCAATAAAAATACGAAAAAAAAAAACAGTTGCAAACACAGATTACATCTATCTATATATTAAAGTTTTGTTTAATTAATAGTAAAAAAAGTTATATCTCTTACAAATATAAAACTATAATCGATGCAATAAATGGTCTATTTAGAAAGAATCTATTAAAAATAAATACTAATAAACTACTGCTCTTTTTTATTTAAGATGTCTTTAGAAAACTAATATTTAAATTTGAAACAATTTATTATCAAGAGTCAATTACTGTGTACTGCCGAATTAAAACAGTCTTGATATATAAATTTTTACGAAATCAAAAAGATGACCAAAATTCTTCTGGGAATACGAATTACTGGTTGCAAAAACACCAGTTGCGATCATTTTACGAATTTCATGATACATTGAATTTAGCATGCTTTTAAAAATTTAATTAATGAACATTATTATATTACATAGGTTTGTTTTAGCGAATATTTACTACATACATTAAATGTAATATCAACTGTGACTATCTTTATATAATATACCCGAGGATATGCAAGTGATTGTTGTATTTTCCTTTAAATATATTTTATACCAATTACGGCATTCCATTTCGTCAATACGTACGTGACATCTAGCGAGTAGTGACTAAACTTTGAAACACAGCTCTGAATTATAGTATAGTCATAGTTGCATAGGTGTCAGGACTAAAATATTTTTATAATGTAAATATATTATTTATCTATGGTGTAAAATAAAATTAAAAGTATAATAATGTATTACTTATTAAATTTTATTCGAAATATTTCTTTTTAAAAATTTGAGTTTTTTGTCAAATTCCAAGACTACTAATTCTGACACTAACTTTAGGGACATCTGGTTGGTGTTGCTCGGATTTCGAAAACCAAAATAGTGCTCTTGCAAAAAAGTAAATTATCAAAAACGGTCTCACCTCACCAACATTTCAGTTTTATAAAATTTAATTTTTGTCTTAAAAGAGGAAAATTCAAAATTTAGTATCTAATATTAAATGTCTTTTAATAGACTTTGGTATATTAGATACCAAAATTTGGTATCTAATATTAAATTTTTGTCATAATTGCTGTTACTCAAAATATCTTTTATTAAGCAACATATTTTATGTTGTAAGGCCAATCTATGGACAGAAAATAAGACACTGAAGTAAATCATCTTGGTTGTAATTATTAGAGATAATGTTTACATAAAGATTCTTCTTCTTCTCGTGCCACTCCTAGCGGAGATTGGAAATCATCATGGCCACTGCGACTTTGTTAGCAGCGCGCCTAAAAAGTTCAATCGAACTACACCCGAACCATTCC